CATTGCCTTCTTTCCAGTCACCTTCACCTTGTCATGACTTTTCAATTGAGAATGGCTTGGCAACTACATCAGCCAGTTCCCTCAAAACTCTCATACAACACTGCCTTTAGGACTTGGGACTAAAATACTGTTGAACAGTGCTTGCAGTGCCAAATATTTCTATCTTTTCCTACTATCCCACCCAGTGAGTAGGGGGCAGCTAGGAAGAAGGGTGGGAGAGAACACAGCCAGGACAGACTACATGAGCTGACCAAAGGGATATTCCACAAAATATAATGTCATGCTCAGAAATAAAATTTGATGTAGAGGAAGAAAAGGGGCATTTTGGATTCTGAGGTCATTGTTGCTTGGAGACAGAATGGATATAAGTCCATTCATTGGAAGTAGAGTTATTACCTTTGAATCATTTAGTTCCTCACATCTTTCCCCCTATTTCCTGAATCTGTTAAACTTTCACTTTTAACCTGGTTTTATCTTAAGCCACATGATTCTGCTTTTATTATTCCTTTTCTCTCCCTTATCCTTCCATGGAGTGGTAAAAAGGGAAACAACAGAGAGGCTGTGTGATTGCTTGGGGTCGATTCACCCCTACTTCAGTATGTGCTCTTTAAACATATCATCCAAACTGATTAAGTTAAAGCATCTACTTCTTGTAAATCCATGCCTGCAGAGAGAGTGCATCAGAAGCAAAAGTTGAGATCTAAAAATCTGTGACATACTTTGGTGTCGAGGGCAGAAAACTGTTCAGAAGCCTACCTGATTGGTATAGAGACAGTACACACACTGGACAATGAACAGTAGCAGGAGATAGTGTTAAGAATTTAAAAGGAGCCTCTGTTACCTGGCATTTTGAAGATCTTGGCACATGAGAAAAGAAGTTGTGATCTCAGTGGAATCTACCAAATTTACGAAGGCTTTGGGAACCTGCAGTGATAAAGTAAAAATTAATCACATTAATACCTGCTGCTGGAAATCATAATTTACTATTTCTGCCACTTGCTAACATCTTGTTACTCTGAGGTAACTCAAAACTAGGATTCTGTCTTCATAAAATCAGTGATCTGAGTCTTTGCCAGTTCCTTCCTGAATCCTACTCCTATGCCTGCCATGTAGAATAACCTGAGTCATTATTTGTGAAATACTCATGATGATGATTTCTTGATTGAGATCTAGAAGTTCACTTTTACATTAACAAGATGACCACCAGCCAACTAAACTGAACTCAGATGAGCAAGGAACTACTATTTTTGTGTCAATGCAATGCTTGAGGATGAAATATCCTGTGTAATAGCACCAGCACTCACACATCTCACCTCACCTTTCCCCTAAGGATAAAGCGGCTTTCCATTTACATACTGATATTTCACTTTTGTGAGTGCACATATACAGATTCTGCAAATAACAGAGGAGGGGAGGGAATCTGAAGCAGATGTATGGGTAGAACTTTACCCATATGCAATATTTGTCAGTCAGTCTGGGAAGAATGAATGCCTGTGTCCTGATGTAATCAAACTGGAGCAGATGTAGAATATCCATCAGGCTGTCAATCCAGTAACATAAAATTCTTGGAAAAAGCTATTGAAATACCTCAGATAAATAGTCTGTTGCAGTGGCAATGCATCCTTATCTAGCCTACTGCTCATTAGTAGACTAATATTCAGAGCACAGAACATTTCCCAGAACTCATCCTAGAGAAATAGATCAGCTTTAGTTCAACCAGCTAGAAATGCTGAGGTCTTAAGATGGACACACAATGGCAGAAAAAAGACCCAACAGATATTATGCAGATCTTTAATGTTTTTTTTTCCCCTGGTATAAACAAGTCTCCACTAGGCATTTAGCAGTCTGTACACTGCATAGATTGCTTCACATATCCAATAATTACATTTATTTTCATAAAGACCACTATTAAAAAGGAAAACTTCCAGATCTAAACTGACATAGTCCATTTTTCATGCAAATCACTTTAAAAATAAACAGTGCAGACTAAGTAGCACATCAGTCTGAGTAACAAGGTTAAGCAGTTAACTGTCTGTCCTTTCTCTTTGCATGCATCAGATTTTTAAAGCATAAATAAAACATTTACTGGCAATGAATAGAGCAAGAGGATTAAAGTCAATGAGATTAGTGCTGTGAATCACTTGAACACTGATACAAGCCAAAGTTCAGAAAGATAGGAAAAAAAAAAATCAGCAAAGGATTCAGGTATTGAAAACTGATGAATAAATCTTACTTCTTTATATAAAAAGTCCAAGAGTTCTTGAAGTTTTTCCAGGTTGTCCAATATGCAGTTCTTCTGTAACGGGATGAGAAACAACTTAAAAACGAATCAGAGAACTGTTCTACTACTGCGTCTGGGATTCGAAATAAAGTACATGTTTCTAATACAAAAGATTTTGTGGACCAGAAGCTCATGTTACTGAATAGCATCACTCCAATCTTCTAGAACCAGCTACTGCTTTGGTTCACTATGGCAAAAGGTAGAGCTTGCAAAAGTGATTGAATCACACACTTTGATGGCTAAACCACCCCATGAAAACATTACCGGTTGTGTGAAGGCACAAGAAGAGCATGGGTTTTCAGCACTAAAGAAAACTGTGATCAGTTTCCAATCATTTTGGAAGTCCATCATCTGGAAGAAAAATAAACAAATTAAAAGGAATATGATGGTAAGAGTCCTATTGCCATCCTTTCTCTCACACAAGATTTAAATCAGCGAGACAAAACAGTAGTCCACTGCCCGACCCCAGATGCTTTGATCCTTTCCATCTGACTCATCAGCTTCACTCTACAGGAGGCAGCAATTAGATGATTATGGACCAAATCTTGCCATTAAAGATGAATGCACACCAATAAAAATCCCAGGATAAAGCCAGAAATTGCAGCTGCCATTGAAGAGTTCACTGGAAATGGGCACACACTGCTGAGCACAAAGCTGTATGCTGCTTCTTTCTAACCCTGATGAAGTTTACTGACAGATTAACATTCTTGAGCTGCTGAGACTGGTTCATCCTGGTGGGATGCAGACTAGAGCAAAAAATCTAAGGGCTAGAGCTCTGCCCAGCTGTCCTAAGCCCATTAGGCAACATCTGCCAAACACAAAGAGCATTGGTTAGAAGCCTTCAGTTCCATAAAAACTTATGCTAAGTTCATTCACATACAGTCTTGTGAGCTCCCTGCACAGGGAGTAGGTAACAGCAGAATCACTTTGGCAGTTATATATGCAAGTTATGTGAAGATCATTTTACAAAATAACACGCCTGAGGGTTGAGAATAGAAGAAAAGTGAGTGCTTAAAACTCCAGGGTGGGATTTTCAAAGCACTCAGTCATGAGTGATAATACAGTTCTCACCAGCATCAACCACTGATATCAGCCAAAGCATATCTCACATTTTTGAAAATATGATCCTAAGATAGCAGGGGGAAAAGATAAATATCAAGAATCACAATTTGGGGTTGGCTTCTCAGAAACACTGGCACAGAGTGTAGATAGGGTTCTCACGTCCTTAAGCAATACAAAAACAAAAATGTTGGCTTCCATGCCAACTTCACCAGCCTCTTCCGGCAAACATAAAGCAGGTGAGATATTTTCAAGAACAGAACTTCATACCTTAAAAGAGTACAGAACTGATTCTATTTACGTCAGATAGTCTGTTAAGTCTGTTAAGCTCAAGAAACAATATATCCTATTTTGAGGAGTTTAAGGTCTTTCATCACATTTCTCCCTTTCCCAGATTGGAGACCAAACTCTCGTAATGGTCTTGTTCTTTAAACACACCTGGTTCTCTTTCATGAGCTTCACTATTTCTCCAGCTTGATCTAAGAGGCCTCTGAAAAGCAGAAAAAGAGAAACTATCAAGGTATCAACAAGGGTAAAGCTTTGGCAGATTTTTATTATGGAGTTAATATTTGAAACATCAGGTGGGATTCATCTTTTCACTCCTAAATGTGTAAAAATTAGACACTTGTCTGAATGTGAGCTAATCACCCGGGCTTTCTGTATAGCTCAGACATCTCACTTTCAGATGTGCATTTGGAGAGATGAAAAGAGCAGACACACTTCTAAGCCATGGCAGGGTCTGACCCCAGGAAGCCTGTACAGCCTGGCACTGAGCATATTCTGTGTTCAGTGAAATTCTCCAGCATCAAATGCATCTACCCTCCATCTTTCCAGATATAAGCGAACACCCCAGCCAAAAACCCCTCAAACTTACATTGCTTGACCATCTGATGCTGCTCCCATTGTGACAGGCAGAGGAGACTGGTGCAGGACCGAAGGATTAAAACTGCTAATAAGAGCTGAATGACATACACAGGTCAGGCTATTTCTGTGTACACGAGACTGCTACTCTGCAACTGTACTATAAACAAAGCTGAACCAGACCAGAAAATGTAGGATCTGAGGGATCTCTTGGCAGGCATTAGAGGCTCACCCAAGCTACTCTGCAGCTGTTTTGCTGGTGCAGCTCCTAAGAACTGCAGCTCTGATATCTGAGTTTGCCTCCAGACTCAGGTGAGAAACACTCATCCCACCTCTTACATCAGCCACAAGTACGGGCAGATTTAAATACAAGCAGGTATAGAAATCAACCTACTGAGAATGGAAAGCAAGTTAAGACTCCCTTCACAACAGCCAGCTCATGGATGATGAATTCACACGTGGTGCACCTAAGGCAGCCTCCGTGTAAGCCCCTGAGCATGTGGCAACAGAAAGAGACAAGCAAACTCACACAAGATCTCACTTGGCTAGCATTGGCAGTGTGCACAGTGAAGACACACCAGCAGGGACTGGAGCTATCCACACAGCCTGTTCAAAGCCAGCACAGGTAACTCACCCTGTGTTGTACTCACATTCACTTAACGCACCTTTCCCCAGGTTCTCCTTACAGTCCCATGCTGCACTTGTGTTGCACACACACCACAGCCCAGCAAAGCCCTTGACAGTCAGCTAGCACTCCATTCAGTTAATTTGCTTAAGTTTGTGTGACAGCAAGACACACCTGCCAAAATTTCCACGCTTACTTCAGGGAGGCTCTTTCCTGTTCTGTACAAAGGGAAGAGAAAACAGGAAGCTGCTGTTATTCCATTTCTCAAAGAAAAGTTACATTACAGCACAACCTCAACATCTTGCTAGCTAGTTGACAGCTTGGAGCATGTATTCACAGCAGCTGCTGAAATTAAGAATGGGGCCTTTCTCTTCCTAAAATCATAATGTCATCAGCTACTGCTGAGTCTCAGATCTCATTCTTTCTCTCCACTCTACATGTTGCAATAATTGTCCTTATGCATATACACAGGCAGTGCCAGGACTTCTCTGTGCATGCACAAGCAGACACAGATGTTCATGCAACTATTGAAAAACAGCAGTTCTTTAAAATTTGTCTTTGCAGGGCCAAATCCTCATCTGGAATGCCTCAAAAGAGTTACATAGATTTGCATCTCTGAGGCTTAACCAGAAGCTTCTACTCACTGATTCATATCTGCTAAGAGGGCCAGAAAGAAGAAAGCGCTGTAGAACTTGTCCATGAACATTGGGAACCATTCAGGCAGAGGACAGACAGGGTATCAGAGTTCTTGGGTTCTATTTTTGCTTTGATAAATCTCCACATTCTGGTCTCTAGTTAGTGGAGGACATTTACTACATAGGAGTAATCTTAGAGTAACGAGTCTTAAGGTTATTGCAACTAAAGTAGTTGCAGATTTTGGACAAAGAATTTCTGTTAACTAAGGAAGGGGGAAAATCCAATGCCTCAAAAATCTTTTCTATTTAAATAGGCTTTCTTCTCCTTTCTAGATAACAACAAAAATTGTAATGTGCCTAATACTGTGTAGATTAGTATCATGAAATGAATCAATGCTAGCAACTCATTTTTACCTTTGGAGTAAATCTTCATGATAAATGCTGGATCCCAGTGGCTGTGAATAAGCAGGCAATAAGAATGTCATTAAGCAAGATTACACACTCTGCTCCCTATTGTACTCCTCTCTTTTCTTATATGTTTTCTATATACTCATTTCCGTTATGCTTCAGTTTGTCACAGATTTAGATTATTTTCCAGAGCTGCCATTTTCAGCACTTCGTTATTACAATATGTTCTCATAGACTGATCTTTTTTCTTACTTTTTTTTTTTTGCTTTCATTAATGAATTTATTGCATGTGGCTTAAAATAAAATGTGACTAACTTAACTCAAATTCAGTCAAATGAAATGCTGTTCTAAACCATATTGAATTGCTCTCAATCTATTCCTTTTCAACAAGGGATGTGACCTGAAGTCACTGAGATAATTTACACGGATGGCACTCTGCCAGCATGGTGCCTGATGAAAAAAACCTCCTTATTCAGAGGAATTTCACTGATTTCAAGGAATCTAGGAGGAGACAGTGAAGTATTTGCTCTAAAAAAGTAGACATTCATTAGCAGAATATCATTTATACATCCATTATATGGCATCACCCACAGGCAATAAAAAAATCATCACCACAAAAAAAGACATGCTCTGAAGTGCCATACATCCAATATGGGCAAAGAACCATCAAATTTAGGAAAATCTTTTCTCCTAAAGAGGGGGGTACTTGCAGAGAGTCCAGGAATGCCATTTTTTTAATGGAAAGCTTTAAGACAAGGGAAAGTATGACATCTTAATGAATATCAATTCAAATTACAAAGTTGTTTTGTGATAAGGGGGAACATTCCCCATTTCTTGGAATTCGTAACACTACAACAACTCCCATTTTTGTCCAAAAAATACACTTCTAAGCTTCCTCTAAGCTTGGAAATTATAGTTAAATGTTTTAAATTGGGCCTCAAAACTTTTTCAGATATTTACTTCCAATTATTAAGGCAAGTTAAAATTACCCAAATCTAACTACCAGAAGAGGCAGGATAACCATACTCACTGATTTATACATCAAAGTTATATATTTATGATTCATCCAGAGCTTTTTCCTGCAGGATAGAAACACTTCAACAGGATCAAAAGTCTACTGCATCTCTTGATAGTTTGCCCTAATGGCAGTCATCACCAAAATTGTATATTTTTTCAGTTTGAGTTTTCCTAAACGCTTCTTCCAGTAATTTGATCTGTTCAGCTCATTGTTAGGAAAATTCAAGCACACTGATCAGATATCAAGGTTCTGTGTAAGAGCACCGTGATCAAATTTCTCCTGCATGAAGTCAGCAGGCTATTTTTAGATTCAGAGTATACTGAAATTCTGAACATTCAGAAGTTATTTCCAGCCATTTTTCAGCAGAAAACTTTAATGCTCATGGAAAGTTTCAAGTCTTAACTGCCCTCACTGGGACCCCAAATTTTACCATCAGCTTAGTTCATCATCAGCTCATCACAGAGTCAGAACAGAGGAAGTGGGTCACGTTCAGCACAGTTCATGCATGTACTTACTGTTTGCAAACTTCCTAATGCAGTGACTACTTTAATGTCAGCTGGCCTCAGAGTATGAACTACAAAAATGTTGAAAATCAGGTTAGAAAAAAGAAGTAAATTGAAAAGAAAGTTACATTTAGTGGCATATTAAAACATGGCAAAACTGATTAAAAGCATGCAGGAAGAAGTCTATACTGATCTTTTGAACTAGTAGCTTTAAATCAGGCAGAGAGAATGAGAAACTTCACTTAGACATTCAGTAAATGCTTCAGCTGCATTGAAATGTTCAACCATCAAGCAAGAAGAGACCACAAAAGACAGTGGTGAATGATTTAAGCAATACCAGAATCCTCAGCAGCTGAAGAAACAAAGGTATTTTTATTAACATAATAAAAAACCCTACAGATGTCACAGAGCCCTCTCTCCATCACTTTAGTGACATCACAGACACATCAGGCCCCTCAGACCAGCTCATTTGCTTCATTCTATGTCCATTCTGAAATAATTGTGGAAGTGAAAGCCTCTACAAGGATAATATTAGACACAAACCTGAAGATGAAGGAGTCTCGGATGACGTCACATGCTCGCATGAAAACTGGAAGCTTCCTAGAGCCTTTGACATAAATAAATATGGTTGATCACTTATTTCCAAAAGGAAATTGTCAGAATGAGAGGTCACAGAGGCTCTATTTTCAAAAAACAACAAACTCTTACTGATGTAGCAGAAATTTTAAAGAACAATTGCACCTCTGCTAGGAATACATGGGAACACAGCTCTGGACAGCTCTCTTCAAATCCACTCTTTCCAAACTCTACACTTTTTGCTCAGCTTTCTTACCAAATTCCTGCTGAGAAAACAATTAAAATGTGCTGAACACAACCTATAACTTCCACTGTTGTGAACAGAGAATGCTTAATCTGGGAGATCCCAAAAATGAGCTTCTGCAAGCATCTTTGTGTGCCACAAGGCACACAGTGTACAAAACAAAAAGCCACAGCTCAAGCATGAAGCAGGAAAGGAAACACAAACCAAATATATCACCGATATTCTGGGCCCCTGGCAACAGGCAGAATTTCCATGTGAACACAGAAAATACTAAAGAGGAAAATAATGAAAGAAAGACCTGTATTTAGGGCAAGGACACGAGTGATATGAATAAACTCAGCATGAGAGACAGATGACTATTACTAGGAACAATTATTTCATGCCCTCCTACATCCTGACAATAGGTATGGTCCATCTCTAAGACCTTACAGAAAGACAAAAGACAACAACCTGCTTCTAAAAGAGCAACAGAGCATCTCAGAACAAGTACTAACCACAGTCAGCCTATGTACAGGATGTGCAACCTAATAACAAGCGGTGCTCGGAGCAACTTATTTCCTGGTGAGGTATTGTAATCTTGCAACTGCAGTATCACACCACTGAGTCATTTGCTTTGCATTTATTCTTTGCAGAATTCAACAGTTTAGCACACTAAGCTCTTCTTCCACCTGCTTCAGAGGAAGTGACAGCCAAAATGTGAAGATAGATATCAAAAAAAGGAGATGGAAAAAAAGAAAGAAAGAAAGAAATCCATTCTTATAATTTACCTTTAGTTTCCCCTGTTCTTCCAGGAGATCTTCTGTCTTTCCTTTAAAATAAAATAAAAAAAAAGAATAAGGAATTGTGCAATTTTTAAGCTTAGAAAAAGCCTTCAGAAAACAATAAAACTAAAACCACACAATCCCTATGAGGAGTAACTTTTCTCCTCTTTCCTATTTTCCAAAGCTGAAGCTTGCTCCAACACCAAATACATTCTCTTAGTTTTGGGTATACTAATGTAAGATTTTAGTTATTATTGTCAGATGAGATTTGTTGAAATTAGCAATTAAGTCATATACACAGGTGATGAACTTTATCTTCCACAAGACTTAAAACCTAGTTTTTCCAGTTTTCCTCTTCAGCCATCATGGAATGGTTTGGGTCGGAAGAGACCATAAAGCCCACCAGTTCCAACACCCTGTCGAGGTCAGGGCTACCCCCTACCAGCTCAAGATGCCCAGGACCCCATCCAACCTGGCCCTTACACCTCCAGGGATGGGGCACCCACAGCCTCTCTGGTCAGTCTGTGCCACTGCCTCATCACCCTCTGAGTAAAGAATTTCCTCCTAATATCTAAATAAATCTTCCCTCTTTTAGTTTAAGGTCATTCCCCCTTATCCTGTCAGTATCTGTCCACGTAAAAAGTCAGTCTCCCTCCAGCTTATAACCTCCCCTCAAGAACAAGAAGGCTTCAGTGAGGTATCCCCAGAGCATTCTCTTTTTCAGACTGAACAAACCCAGCTCCCTCAGCCTTTCTTCATAGGAAAGGTGCTCCAGCTCCTCTGAAGGCTGCTCCAGCAGCACTATGCCTTTCTTGTTCTGGCCCCAGGCCTGGAAGCAGAACTTCAGATGGGGCCTCACAAGGGCAGAAAAAAAGAGGGAGTATTACTGTTCTCCTGTATTATGATGGATTTTAATTTTGTTTCTCAGAAAAGGAGGGGCCTATCTGCTTTCAATGTGAGAGGTATAAAATACCTAGAGCAACTAGTAAACGTAATTCCCATTAACAAAAGGAGATTTTGCAAACACCAACAAATTCACATGTGAGCCAGTCCCTAGTTTTTATGCCTTAGAAGTGCAGCCTAGGCTTACATTAGCATGTGCAAGCTGAAACTCCTTCAGAAAGGAGCAATTCACATTAATCTACATCTTCCACAGCCACAGAGCAACATCACACTGTTATGTGATTGCCATAGTGATAGATAAACTAGATTCTTGTCCCAGAATGTTGACAGATAACATAGCCTGTTAAAGCCAGAAGTCAAAACTGCAGCTATTTCAGCAAACACCATTCTCTTTCCTTGAGTGTATACTTGGATTTGTAAGCATCAATTTGAGGTTATCCTAAGATCTTCACATAGGGAGATTTGCAGCTGAACTTCACAGTGTGCTGAGAGCTGTCCCTGCTTTGCCACACCAAAGCCACCAAAGTCCTGCAAGTCTCTCAAGTCCTGCTGTCTTTTCTCCAGAAGCTAACTTGAGACTATTTAGTTGTCCTGCTGCATGCTTCTGCTTATATGTCCTCTTTCTTTCCACATCAAAAAGTAAATGGAGAGCCAACTCAGCCCAGCAGGGGAGATATCCAGGCTCAGACTGTTTGATCTCCTCTCACGTGGACGTTATTTCATAAGTCTGAACTCTCTTCCCATTTATCCTCCTCCTAGTGTTTCTCACTTTACTTTTGACTTGAAAAGGCTAGACAGCCCTCAAGAGGTGAGTGAACCAGACTTACACACAGCACTAGGCATGCATTTTTTGTTCTCTCTCTGATTCCTGACATTTTCTCCTTGATTGCTGGTAACACTGTGTTGATGTCCTCAGAGAGCTACGTACCATGAAGCAGCACCTAACTTAGAGTTCACCATAATCTATGTATAGCTAGCACAAGTTAGACCATTTTCCATCAGCTAGTCTGTCCCCTTATCTGATACTGAAATAAGCTGAAAGCACCTGTTCCAGCAGGTTCCCTCTCCTTTTTTCTCCATCTGAAGATTTATAATTCATTTCTTTATTCCAGGGCTTTTAATTAGAATCCACAAAGGTGTTTTTGTCCTTGTGACTATTTAGCTTCTTTAAGAGTACTTGGTCAAAAGATCTTCAGAAATTCAACTGTACTTACCACTGCAGGTCCCCAAACCCTACTAACGAAGAACCCATTCTAAAATCTAGTTTCACATTTGCCATTTTTAATTCCTGACATCAATGCTGACTGAAGAAATGCTGATCGATAACAATACTGTTAACATGTACACACATTCATATTTGTTTAGTTCACTCCCTTGTGTGAATATCATCTACTTCTGGCAGTTTGTTGCTATTCATTATCAATTTGTCTGGGGATCTGATAGCTCCTCCAGCTTGTCCCCTCCCCAGAAAGGATCTTAGTGCAAGGTCTTTTTTAAGCTCTTGTGCTTAAACACATCACAAGGGAGGGAATAAATAATAAAAGAAAAAAGTCTTTTGTGTTGAGCTTTAGACCCTATTTTTTGTATGTATCAGGACTTTGGATTCCCTGTTTCAGATGTATTTTGAAAGAGAATCTTATTTTTTATTCCTTTAGAAATGATTCCTTGAATCCCCTCAGATTCATTTTTGGCTTGCCTGGTTATACTTTAACCAACCAGAGCATACATTCAGTTTTCTTTGTTTGTTTTGGATTTATGCTTTCTATAGGATGTTTTTTTGACCCTGCTTCTCCCAGTATCATAGCCATTCTATGACTCTATCATTTAATAATTCTAGTTTGTATTTTTAATTTTTTTCTAAATCCTCTCTCCCTGCCTTCCCTAAAATAAGTGTTTTTCTGATTTTTTTTCTAAAATCTTGGAGAAAAGCTCTACTTTCTTTCCTTCATTTCATAGTTAACCTGTTTCTGCTAATTCTTACAGACTCTACCAATCCACATTTTCTCCCAAATCAAGTTTTCTCAGGAATTTCAGTCACAATGCATCTTTTTTTCCAAATTAAAAAGCCAAGCGTGATCATTTCTTCCATTTATAATAGGAACCAAAGCCTCCTAATAGCTGTTTTATTTAATCAGAGAACCTGACAGTCCTCCTAAGATACTTGTCCTCACAACCTACTGTTAAGATAGAGCACTACTGTTATTTATCACAGCCTTCTTACTGGCAGGATGCTGAAGCAAAAAGCCAAGATAGGCACGATATTTGTAATCCTAGACCACCTATAAAATTCAGGTATCTGGTACCATGTATGGATTTCATATAACCAGTAAGGGTACAATACTTTCTCCAACTCCAGCCTCCCACCCCCCTTCCTTCTCTCTGTCTCTTTTTTTTGTTTGTTTTGTTTTGCTTTGTTTTGCTACAGTAATTTGCTCAGATTATACAGAAAGTCTGGAGGAAACAGAAATCTGAACAACGATGCCCTGGGTTTCAGAAGATTGTCTACCCATCCAAACAGTTCAATGCCACTGAAAAGAAAATGATCACAGGTACAAATTCAAAGAAAAACCTCTGTCTCTTGCTGGAACT